TTGGCCTCCAGAACTGCTGCAGCAACTGAAGATGCAGCCCTAAGCTGTCCCATGCACCCCACTGCACCCCCTGCACCCCACGCATGGTGTCTCTTGTTAAGCCCCCTCCACCAGCGCCTTCTCCGCAAGCTGGGCCCATCTCTGTCATTCTCAGCCACAGGCGTGGTCTCCTTGGACTGGGAATGTTGTGCTACTTGTCAAGTTTTTGTGTTTGGTGTCACCTGGTTTTCAGAAAACCTCAAATCTCTAAGAAGACCCCAAAGATGGCCTGCGCGGGAGACTTCCAGGCTGAAGCCATCCTAATTGTAAGGGGCCTTGCCTTCCCATCCGCCCACAGAAGACCAGCAAGCTCTTGGAGGGCACCACACCGCAGGCAAAGAGCCGTATCTACTCTGAGACACCACCTGATGGAGACACACGTGTTTTCCCATCGGTCAGTGACCCATTCCAGGCACAAGGATACATTTTCCTACCCAATCCTTAGGAGCCTCACTGAGACCAGTCCTCCAGCTATACACCTGGGGGCACAGGGCCCTGCCCCTCACTCCCCAAGCCTTTGGAGAGTTCCAAGTACCTTCAGCACAACTCCCTCTGGGGCAGCAGGAATCTCAACACCCCCAGCCTTCCAGCTGCCCCCCAGGAATGACAGCCAGCCAGCCAGTGCTCTCCGTCCCTTTATATGGCCCACAGCCTTGTCTTGGGAACACCCCCAGCCTTCCAGCTGCCCCCAAGAATGATGGCCAACCAGCTAGCACTCTCTGTCCCTTCACAGGGTCCCCAGCCTTGTCTCGGGAACACCAGCACTTGAGGAGATGGCCTCCTGACACTTTGAATCTAGGCTTTTCTCATTGATCAGCACCGGCTCAGTTCCCAGGCTTGACATGGGGAGGTCTCCTCCACCTATTGTTTGGTAGGGGGTGGGATCTGTCTTATGGGTGTCCTGCGGCCCACGGCCTTTCCAGCTCCCAGGCCTCCGTAAGGCTATCTGGGGTGGTGGTGGGGGTGCCTCTGACTCCTCTCTTCAGGCCATGCTCCTCTCTAATCCCTTGCTGACCTCTGCCCTCTGCTTCCATTCCAGGCTTTCTCAGCCTATCAGCTGAGAAACCCAAACTGCCCGCTAAGGTCCTCTGGAAGAGGAGCCTTTCTCAGTGGCACGCTCCCCTCCTGACCTTCCCCACCGCCCACCACACAGCCTTCCTGGCACCCGTCCACACTCCTGCTCCCGAAAGCCCTTGCTTCCTTCCTACTTCCGGTCTCACCACTCTGGGAAGCCTGACACTATCAGATGGCCGCAAGATATCCCTGTTTGCAGAACCTGTGTCTGCCCTGGTGATCTTGTCCTTGGCTACACAGGGTCTCTGCATCTGCTCTTGGCCCTGGAAGTGTCATCCAGTGTACAGGTCATGGTGCCCTCACCAGTCCTAGCCCACTGTGGGCCATTAAACCCCTATCTTTGGAATAGAAGAACTGATTTGGAAAAAACTATTTGGATTTCAGTTACTCAAATTGGGGACTGGGAGCTGAAGGTTTTTTTTTTTTTTTTTAACAGCAGGAGGAGATAAACTTAAATGCAATATACCTTGGCAAAAATAAAATGGAAATATGCTTTTATTTTTCAGAAGAGTCAGATAACTCAAGCAACTCCTCCCCTTGTCAACCGTTACTCTAATTTTTGCCCTGTCACCTGCCCACGCTCAGCTCCGTTGGGCTCCCTTGGTCTTGTGCTGATTTGCCTCCATTACTACATACACCAGTTCTCTTTTCCCTTCTCACAGTATGACATGAATGCTAAAGCAGTCAGCCCAGTGTCTGCCTCCCTGGGGTTTAGTCTGTGCATCCTGGGTCGAGGCTGGCCTCTGACTGCTTTCATGAACTCCACCTGCCTCCCGAGTCACCACTGCATTTTCACCTTGTGACTGGTCTCTGACCAGTGGTGACTGGGCACAGGAGAAGTTCGTGTGTGACTGTCCACCAGGGACAAGCCCATCTCTGACCGTCCTGTGCATTTCTCGGGGGTCTCTCTCTGTGACAGACAGCCCATTTCCCTCCATCCTTCCTTCCTGCCCACTGTGGTCCTTGCTGGCCTCTCTGAGCACTGACTGTTGTAGATCCACCCCCAACATTTCCAGCGTGTTTTTCCTGGACCCATTCCTGCCTTGCAATGGGTTCTTCCCCATGGGTCCTCCTTGGTTGGCTCTTGGGCGGTGTGTGGAGCCGCGTGGAACTGTGTTCCTAAGAAAGCTTCTAGCCTGAATCTCTGGCCCTTTCCCAGTCTTGCGTGGGACAGGCCTGCCCTTGTTTAGTCAGGTACACATGTCCCTCCCGGAGTGCCAGGCGTCTACCACTGCCCATGGCTCATCTCCTTCTGCCAATTCTGTTAGTTGCCTTGCCTCTCCCCTAGACTTGATCCGGTAAAAAGGTACCTTCCTTCCTTAGGGTCCTGCCAATCAGGCTGGTTTCCACAACATTACACAGGTCCTGGTGTCACTGGACATGAGATTTCAGCTGTTATTGAACTTGTCTTTGGGGACCTCTTGGTGTTAATACCATTGTCCCTGTTCATAGAGCAGAGGCACAAGAGGGTCACTTGCTTCACAGCCCAGAGGGATGGGGCTGGGACATTGGTCTATGCCCCTTGGCTTCCCTCCTCTATCCCCTGTCTTCCCCTCGGTGTCACAGAAGCACATAAACTGTGGTGGGGCAAGAGAGGGGTCATGGCGCATCAAGGCCAAAGAGCTGGGGAAGCCAGGGGCTGTCCCTCCAATGGCCCAGCAGTGCCAGGGGGTGGGGACACAACTCAGGCTATAGTGGGGCTCCCCAAGCCTGGGCTGGGACCCCAGGGGCAGGCTGGGAGAGACAGATCAGAGTGTATTATGCTTAGGTCTCCTAACAAAGAACATCTCAAGCCTGCCTTGAGCCTCACCATGGCCACAATAACTGGGCAGGTTTCTGAGCCTGAGAACAGGAGCTATACAGGTGCACTGCTCTCACCCTGCCTCTGGGCCGGAAGGAGTTTTAACACCTCAGGGTGCACTGGGCGAGGTCTTCAAGTCTGCTCTTAATCTGACTCCTGCACACTGGCCAAGCCAACATCTCAGGTCCTGGAAGGACTCAGGCCGGGGCCATGTGCCTGGCAGGCGAAGCCTCGCCATGGTGCCCTCGTTCACCAGTCCTCCGGTGGAGGGGGGCAGTGCTTGTCACTTTCAGAAAGGAAAGTGCCTGGCATTTGTCAGAAAGCTCAGATGTCCTGGAAACAGAAAACTCCCCGGTGCGATTTTCCTCTGTGATCTTCTGTCTCATGTGTCCCCCTGGGGATGAACAAGAAGCACTCCTCTGAATAATTCATAGGCCCCGGGGTGGAAACACACTGCCTCTTTTTAATAGAAAGGCTGGCTAGGCGGCGTTGATTATACCTCTCCAGCGAAGCTCAAGCCAAAGCCTTTTTACAAATTCCTCTTACAATAGGGAAACACAAATTAAAAGCCAGGTCGCATTTTCAGTTGAACAGACTAATGTTTGGGTAATATGTAAAATGATTTATAAAGCTGTACCAAGCTATGGGATGCTCATAAAAGGAAGTTGCAGGGGAAAAAATCAGAAAGAGCTATAATTATTATAAGGTCTAATTGATTTTTAAAACTGAAAAGAACCACCTTGGGGTTTGCACTGGCTAAGCACCTACTAGATGCTAGGAGCTTGGCCGGGCTTGCTGGAGAGTGGCTGCGTTTCCTACAGCAGCACAGCAGGGCAAGTTCATAGAAACGCCAAGGCCAAGGAAAGGGCAGGTGGAGCTTGGAATGGCACTCCCTTCCCCTGGGGGCCACAGCCTCTTCTACATCTTGTGGTATTTCTGGGAAACAGTAACACCATGGTGGGGGGCTTGGCAGTCCTTTGGAGCATGGTTCACTGCTCGGTTGCAAAGCAGTACCCTCTCTGTCCTGGACACAGGGGACTCATGCCCAGAACAGGTGAGGTGGGCCTTGCCTGAGGTTGAAGAGCAAGTGACTAACACCATGGACACCAGTGTTGTCCCCAGAACCCTTGTACATGAGCATGGTGATTATGGGTGCTGAGCTCCACCTCCTCCGACCACTACAGGCTAACGATGCAAAGAGCACTCTGATTGCATGACAAGGTTTTCCTTCTCTATGCTCCATTACTGCTAAGAATATCACAAAAACTCAGCCCCAAAGCCAAGCGTGCATGCCAAGATCGGACAGGATGACACTTCACCAGGTCCCTGCATCTGGGGCACAGATAAGTGTCAATTCAGACTCCTGAGGGCACAGATACAGCTCTCCAGGTTTCCAGCTCACAGAGAAGGCTGGTGGGTGGCCACTACAGGATCTCTCAAAGGTGAGGCCATGGTACTGGGAACCAGGGGCTGCAGGTCCATCCCAGGTAGTGGTGTTGGCTCCAAGACAGGACCACCAGACAGTGCTCGCGGAGTGGAAACCACAGCGACTACTCAGGAACCAGGGCCATGGGTCCCAGATTGGAGTGCAGCACAACTGGCCTGCCCGCCACCCTGTTCACAGGCTCCTTCAAGTTCAGAGGAGGCCCTGATTTACAAAAATCTCTGACCTTTGTGCTGACTGGCCTAATGGACAAGGCACTGGCCTCCTAAGCCAGGGATTGTGGGTTCGAGTCCCATCTGGGGTGGAAGTTTCATTATGAAACGAAAGCTACGTATCTGGAATATCCCTGGGGATGTGCTGTATCCCTGGGTGGCTGCTGTAAGTGGCACACAGACCAAGATGATGATGACACTGCCTAGGCCACAGTACCTTTATCACACCCCAAGTTGCAGTGGCCTGGGGGTCACGTGCACAGCCAACAAGGGGAATGATGTGTTGGTTGCATGCTCTGGGGCAGCCGGGCAGCCAGGCAGCCAAGCGCATGTGGTCTTTGAAACCAGGGGGTGGGAGGGCCATCAGCCTCCTGCTATTTCCAAAGGGAGCCCCATCACAAGAGTGGGGTCGCCCAGCCCCCAGACTCACCAGTCGCTGCATGCTCTTCACGTGGGTGGGGCTGATGGACAAGGCTTCCTCATACCACCGCTGGGCCTCCTCCAGGTGGCCTCGGAGCTCCGCGACCTGGCCCCGCATGTACAGGACATTGTGTGACATTGGGAAGAGGTTGGCAGCCTCCTGGGTGCAGGCCGTGGCTTCTGCAGGCTTCCCAATGCCAATATATACTTCAGCTGTGGGGGCAGGGGAGAAAACAGAGAGCAGACGTTTTCCTGGGTCTTGCCCTTAAGAGGCCCTGGCTGGGGACTTGTGCCTTCCCCTGCAGGAATCAGGCAGGGCCAAGAGCTGGCTGATCCTATCCTTGTGGGAACAGCCACAGGCTGACAGTCCCTCATGACACGGGCCACTTCGAGGCCTGTTTGGATAGGCCCTGTCCCCAACCTCTGAGGACTCCCACCCCCAGGGCCCACCCAGAGCACCTCTGCGTCTGGACAGAGGCTGGCCTGGCTCTGCCTCCCGCAAGGTTAGGGCCAGATGAGCACTGGAGTTGGGTCGACCAGAGGTGCAGAGCCCTCCAGGGCAACGACTCTGCCTCCCATTCCCCACACCCCGCCCCAGGACTGCCGTCTTGATGCCAGGTAGCCAACACCAGGGCTCATGCATTTATAGGCAGGAAGTGAAATAGCTGCTTCCCCAGCCCAAGTGATGGCACCGCCCTGGAGACTCCTCACTCCATGGCCTCAACAAAATTCTCTGCAAAACCAGGCTGTCACTTCCCAAACAGGCAGGGCTGTGCCCTTTCTGCCAAGTTCAGCCTCTCCAAGGAGTACCCCAGCAGCCCTGCAGCTCAGTGCTCCCCAGGCTGGGAGCAGTCTGTGCCTCTGCTGCCCTACCCTCCCCACCTGTCCTGCCTCGTCTGGTCCCAGTGCCACCATCCTCTCTGTCGGCCAGCCCTGACCCTTTCCCCTCTGTGGCCACAGCCGCTGGCTCCACTGCCCTGACCTTTCCCAGTGGCCGCCCTGTCTGAGTCACTGACCCCTGTTCTGGCCTGTAGGTCAGCCCCTTCTCATCTTTCTCTTGTCTTGACCTTCCCGCTGCCTCATTCTGGCAGTGAAAGACCCCCATGCTCATTATCTGCAAGTTCTGTATCTATGCATAAATAGTAGGCAAGACAGGATAAACAAGAGCACACAGAAATAGTGATGCTTGAAGGACTTGATAAAAAGGAAGCAGAAACATTTCATTAGTTCTTGCACAGGCTGCATCCTCTTTGGGAACTGCCCAGCCTCTGGCCAGCTGGCACTCCACAGCTACTCCTGGGCACAGAGCCTGGTGCCCACCTACTCAAACTCCTTCCGAGAAGCCTTCCAGGCTTTGTTCCCAGGAGGCTTTGTGTGACCACCTATTGACAATGCTGTCCTACTCCAGCACTGCCCATTCCATTTCCTCTCTGATGCTCCAAAACACTGTGCTCCCTGTAGTGCTGTCGCAGTGGCTGTGACTCAGTATGTGGTTCCTGAATGAGTGGATAACGCTCAGTAGGGGCCCTGGTAGGGTCCCACATTGTGGCATAGCAGGTAGGCCACTGCCTGTAATACCAGCATCCAATATGGGTGCTGGCTGCAGTGTGGGCTGATCCATTCTGATCCAGCTCCCTGTGCAGCGGAAGATGGCCCAAGTGCTTGGACCTGCCTCTCATGTGGGAGACTTGGATGAAGCTCTTGGCTTCCGGCTTTCGTTCCAAACTCCTGCTATTATTCCCATCTGGGGAGTGAACCAGTGGAAGGAAGAGCTCTTTTTCTTTCTCTTTGTAACTCTGACTTTCAAATAAACAAATCTTGGAAAAAAGACACCCCTCATACCAGGCAGTCTTTTCCTTTCCCCTTATGTCTGAGCAGGGGTCTGATCAACCAATCAAACTGGACAGAGGAGGGAACTGAGGTGCTGAGAGGCTGGGGAGCTCGTCTGGGCACCAGGGTGGAACAGAATTAAAACTAGAGTTCGAGCTGGGCCAGAGCATAGGTGACGTGGCTTAGAGCCCAAGCCCTAGGCCTTGGTAGAGGAACATCTCCTGTGCCCCAAATAATACCCAGATCTCTTGGCCTGGCATCAGGTGCCCTCAGCAATAGGTTTCTCCACCCTCCCTGCCCCACTCAGGGCCTGCTGGTACCGAGTGCTGTGCACTGCCCTCATCCCCAGCAGGTGTTCCATCTCCCTGATTTTGTTTGTGCTGTGGCCTCTGCCTGCAAGGCCATCATTCCAGCCTCCATCAAGGCCCTTTCTGCCTGGCATGACCTGACCCTTCCATGGCCCTTGCAGCTCTCCAATTGCAGGGTCCCTGTGAGCACTGAGGGGTTCTGGGCTGGCTCCTGGACAGCTGATGTACCCTTCTCAATGCCCTCTGTGCTACACAGAGCCAGGAGACTGGGCGGGGGAGGGCAGGGGCTGTCTCCTGGTGTCGGGTGGCGTTCCTGACCTCAGGCTCTCTGGCCGGGCCCCTCTACAACCACCTCCCCTTCTCTGATGAGCCTATTCATAGCAACGAGCGACTGCCTGGGCCGGGCCAGAGTCTGGCGCAGACTCACCTGCACCGTGTCTAATCCGCCTGTCAGTCCCACCTACCAGGAGCACAGGGAAACGAGAAACCAGCCCTGGGACATGGAGCAAAGTCCTCAGTAACACTTGCAGGGACAGAAACTCAAGCAATTCATAATTTCCTGAGCCCTGGGGTGGCGATGCTGAGGGCTCAGGGCTGAGCCCTGAGGTGGCCCTGCTGGTCACTGAGCCCTGGGGTGGCCATGCTGAGGGCTGAGGGCTGAGCCCTGGGGTGGCCAGGCTGAGGGCTGTACCTGCCTTGCATTCCCAGGAGACTCAATCTGAAGGAACTTGCTGAGAGGAACATACATGGCCATTTCTCTGGCTTCATCACGGGCCAGGCAAGGCCCCGTCCCTCCTGGGCTACAAGCAACTCCTGCAGCAACACCATCAGGACCGCCTGCTGCCTCTGGCAACATAATTCTGTCCAAGATCTCGCCAGCAGAGTCCCACACAGGCCTGGTGGTTTTGGGTTACCTGAGCCCTGTGGCCATTTGGGAGGGCGGTACAGAACGTTCCTCTCGCTGTCCGCCTGCTTCCATGCTGGGGGTGAGTTGATCATGGACATTTCCAACATTCCTCAGGCCCGGAGCTCCCTGGGGGGCTGGTCAGGAACACACCCAGGTCACTGTGACAAAGGTTGCTCGGGGGCTGCAGGACGAATGCTCCCAGGGTTTTTGTTGCAAGCACTGAGATGGGAAAGGGCCTTGATTACCAAGGCGACACGAGACATACGAGGCTTGCCTCGCCAGGGGCCTCCAGGAGACAAACGTGATGCCAAACATCTCGTGTCTCACTGTGTCCTCAGCTACCCTGGGCCTGGCCTGGCAGCGCCACCCTGCCTGGGATGAAGAAGTACAAGTCACAGATGGACCTAAGTCAGGGGTCACAGGCTGGGGGAGACCAGGGAGCCTGGCCTCTGGAGGAGGACTTGTCTGAGGGCCCTGGCCATGGAGGGAGAAAACCCAATGGTGCTGAAATGTTAGCACTCAGGGGCTTGCGTGATGACACAAGGGATTAAATTGCTGCTGGTAAGGCAGGCATCGCATTGCAGAGTGCTGGTTCCAGTACAGGCTGCTCTGCTTCTTGGTAATGAAGTCCTGGAGGCAGCAGCTGATGGTCCAAGTCCTTACCCATGTGGAAGACCTGCTGGAAGCCCCTGGCTCCTAGTGTGGGCCTGGTTCGGTCCTGGCTGTTACAGCCATGTGGGGAGTGAACCAGCAGATCAGAGCTCTTCCCGTCGTTCTTTATCTTTCCGGTAACACATTTTTAAAAGAAAGGGCAGGGCCCAGCGCGGTGGCACAAGTGGTTAAGGTCCTCGCCTTGCACGCCCAGGATCCCATATGGGCACCGGTTCTATCCTGGCAGCCCCACTTCCCTTCCTGCTCCCTGCCTGTGGCCCGGGAGAGCAGTTGAGGACGGCCCAGGGCTTTGGGACCCTGCACCCGCGTGGGAGACCCGGAAGAGGCTCCTGGCTTCGGACCGGCATAGCACTGGCCGTTGCGGCTCACTTGGGGAGTGAATCATCAGACGGAAGATCTTCCTCTCTGTCTCTCCTCTCTGTATATCTGCCTTTCCAATAAAAAAAAAAAGAAAAAAAAAAAAGAAAGGGCAGGATATATGGTACAAGATTTTCAAATCATGTTTGCCAATAGTCTGTTTTTTTCCCCCTAAAAGCTCTGACTCTGAGAGTGGGCAGCGTGGGACCCCTAAGAGGGACAGCTGGGGACCCCAGGGCTCTATGAGAGCTCCCCTGCTCTCACAGAGCACTGGGCACAGGTGAGGCCCAGGCCCAGGGCACATCAGTCAGCTGCTCCAGGCCACTCAGCTGTCCTAGGGGGCTTGACCTGGTGTTTACCCTGTGGGAGTGGGGGTCAGTATTAACAGGGCCTGTATAGGTGGCCAGCCCAGAGTGGTGGTGAGCATAAACATGAGGACCGGCAGGCTTTCCTCCGACTTGGCAGGGACTGTGCCATCCAGCTGCCTCCCTTGTCTTGGCTGGGAGGCATGCAAAGGTTACCCAAACTTCCCCAAATTCTCTAAAATAAGACCAGGATTGGGTCTCTCTATGGGTACCTCTTGGCCACAGTTGTGCCTGCACTCCTTGGTAGAGGATCCAGGAGGAGAGTACAGATGTATGCCTGCTGAGTGAGGGTCATGTAGGGCCATGATTCCTGCACACGGGGACACGTAGAAAGTCAGAGGCCAAGAGAGCGGCAGCCCACACAAGCTTCCGTTCTCTTCTTCCAAGGACAACTTTCAGAATAAAATGAGGGGCCCTGAAAACCTGTCAGGTCTATGAGGCCTGTGCCAAGGGAAGTGGCTCTAGCACTAGCCAGCTAGGTGGCCAGGGCCTGGCACCAGTGAGCAGGCACCAGGGCCTGGCAACTGGGAGGCCCTGAAAGGCAAAGGGCCCAGTGACAGGTAGTCTGTCCTGGACAGGGGCAGCTGCCAACCTCTGATCAAAGGCAAGGGGCTACTCAGGGCCACAGGTACAGTGGACCTTACTTGTGCTTTCAGGCCAGATGTAGTGTCTGTGCCTGAAGACCCAGATGCCTGCACAGCACTGTCAAGGGCAAGTCTTGAGGCACCTGGGGTATATCCAAGCTCAGACATGAGTTGACAATCGACTCCTCCCGGATCCTAGCAATCAGTTCCTTTCCCAGGCTGCCTCATGCAAGAAATGGGGACACCTGTCACCCCCGGCTCAGGTTCAACCCAGGACTCTTCTTTTTCTGCCCCTGTCCCCACCCCCTTGAGTACAGCTGTCAGTCACTCCCAGGCACCACCTCCTCTGCCATCTGCGCCCAACTTTCCTCAGCTCAGTCAGCTTCCGCCTGGGCGGCCTCCCACTTTGCTCACCAGTTGGCGGCAGAGATCTGCCCAGGAACCTCAGGCCCCTCAGTCCTGTTCCTGTCTGAAGTCCTTTCCTGTGCTCGGGGTTAGGGTTAGGAACCCTCACTGTCTCCTTCCTTGCCTCATCTCAGCCCACCTGACTGCTTACTCTTTAGGTCCCAAGTGTAGGGTTCCTGTCACTTCCCAGAACTCACACCGCCACCATGCCTTTCTTGGTGCCTCCCTCAGCCCTGGCCGATGCTGACCACTCTTGGGGCCTCTGCTTTGGTAAGCCTTCGGTTCCCAGGAGCCACAGGAGGTCCTGACACCTGGCACCCAGCATCTGGTACCACAGAAGCAAACTTTTTCTGGTTGTTCAGTTCAGCACCTGTAGACCCTGGCAGGGTCTGCTAGTACTAGGTGGTGTCCACAGACACTGTGCAGTCCATTCCAGTGCCTGCCAGGGCTCAGCACAGTGGGAATGGTCGCACCAGCTGGGCTGCGATTCTGGCTTCCCAACTTTACAGTCGTACTACTCTAGATAAGACACTTCACAGTGGTGTTCCGGTTCATCTGCAGAATGGGGTGCGTAAGGGGATTTTAAACCTCAGAGGGGTATTACTTGGTGACATTGCCCTGGAGGGCTGGTTTTCAGTTCTGGTTCTGCTCCTGATGGCAGCTTCTTGCTAATGCACACCCCCTGTTTGGGAGCTATCTCTTTGTGGAACCTCCCAGGGCTGGGGGCCAAGGGATTGGGAGAGTATCACAGCTTCAAATCCCCAACAGAAATCAGAAAAAGTTGATCTTGCACATCTAAGAATAGCCACTGGTTTTAACTGTGAGCAGTGCCAAAGTGAAGGCTGTAATTGTTGGTAAGTAGCAGGCAGGAGCTAACCACCTCCCGCAAAGTCATTTTTAGCTGCCATGCTCGTGTGAAAGGGCAGAGATAGGCACAAGGAAGGTGCCTGGCTTGGGCAAGGCACCGGCTCAACTTAGAGCTACTGTGTCCCCCAGGACAGCTGTGAGACCAGAAACTTTGTCTTGAGGTGTGACATTAAGACATTTCTGCCCCGGAAGCACTGCCAAGGTGGCCATTTCTGCCCAACCCGGGGTCCCCACTGTACAATGGGGGAAGAAGCCTCCCCTGCCTTTCATTACACGGGACTGGTCTTGTGGCAAAGAGAGTAAAGCAGCAGCCTGCAATGCCCATATCCTGTTTGAAACTGCTTAGAGTTCCAGCTCTCCACTACTGATTCAACTCCCTGCTAATGTGCCTGGGAAGGCAGTGGAAGATGGCCCAAGTGCTTGGACTCCTGTCACCCACATGCGTGACCCAAAAGAAATTCTTGGCTCCTGGCTTTTGGCCTGGCCCATCCCTGGCTATTGTGGCCATTTGGGGAGCAAGCCAGCTACAGATAGAAGATTCTCTCTGTAACTCTCCCTTTCAAACTAAGAATACATCTTAGAAAAAAAGAAAGCACACACACACACACACACACACACACACACTACTCGGAGATCCTTCAAAGTCATTCCCTTGCAAGACTCAACAGAAAACAAATTCTGAGAAGATTCTGGTTAATTAATTTACCTTACAGGCCAGGCACAGTTTGTCCATGGTCCACAAGGCAAACTACTTTCCAATATTTCATTTCCACTCATGTGTAGTTCCTAAAGGAGGATTTTATTCTGTCCCAGAGGTCATTGCTGTGTGAAATGGATCTTATGGGATTATACAGAAATCCAAGCATTGCTCCTGATACAGTTTCAGCCACATTTTCCTCCCAAGGAACTACAGCTGGATAAAGGAGCCACTGGATAAAACTGCCCAGATCTGGGTGACCCCCAGGTTTTCTTTCTTTCTCTCTTTTTAAAAGATTTATTTTATTTTTATTTTAATTTTTATTGCAAAGTCAGATATGTAGAGAGGAGGAGGAGAGACAGAGAGGAAGATTTTTTGTTCGCAGATTAATTCCCCAAGTGGATACAATGGCTGGAGTTGGCCAATCTGAAGCCAGGAGCCAGGAGCCTTCTCCAGGTCTCCTGCATGGGTACAGGGTCCCAAGGCTTTGGGTCGTCCTCAACTGCTTTTCCAGGTTACAAGCAGGGAGTTGGATGAAAACCAGGGCTGCTGGGATTAGAACCAGTGCCCATATTGGATCCCGGTGTGTGCAAGGAAAGGACTTTAGATGCTAGGCTACTGTGCCAGGCCCAACCCTCACGTTTTCTGATCCAGCTCCCTGCTGGCGCCAGGCTAGGGAGCTGGCTCCATCTGAAAGGATCATCCCAGTCCACTGGGCTGCCAGACTTCGGCTTTTTCAAACATTCACCTGCAAGTCAGATCTGAAAGACACCTATATACCCTAGCCCTGCAGGTGCGGATGGCTCACCTGGCCCAGAGACCACCCCGTGTGCCCTTCCTTTCTGTACTCTGCAGCTGCTGTTCAAAAAGGTGACTGCACAGGGCAATAGAGAAGCCTGGGCTGGGGCTGGGGCTTCTCTATCAGACAGCTGTGGGGAGCAGGCACTCCTGTGGTTCCCAGACCCAGAGTCAGCCTGTTGGGGACCTCTTTGAGCCAGAGTCCCAGGGCAGTCTGCAGTGGGAACAACAATTCCACACTCCCAGGCTTCTGCTTGGAAGAACAGAATCTGCTCTTGTACTGTAGCTGTTGGGGCTCAGTAAAGGATTATAAGACTGGCAGAGCATGGCTCCATGCCCAAGCCAGGTAAAGCCCGCCATGTTTTTGTCCATTGTGGTGTGTAACAAGGTGGGACATCACACAGTGAGCCTTGGCAAGAGAGGGGCACACAGATGGGCGCTTGGTACAAGGCCAGAGCTCCTCTCAGCCAGGCCTGGATTTATCTGCATCCTGAGCGATGGAGCCCTGGAGGCCCAGCCAGGGCTGGGCAGATCAGGACATACAGCAGGAGAAAGAGAAGCTACCTATTATCCAGAAAGACAAATACAAGTGCAGCAAGAGCCATCACATGCTGGGAAGCTTGGCAGAGTGGGATGGTGACTGTATGCTGCATGTCGGTGATCTCCAGCCGTGCAAAGCATGGGGAATGAGCGAGTGGACACCCACATCTGACCAGGGGAGGGACAAGCCCAGGCAAGCTCCCAGGTCAGCATCTGCTTCTGCCAGCATCCCTCTCTGTGGATTACAAAGACTGCCACCAGAGTGGCTAGTGGGGGCCCCTGAATTGGAGAAGGCTCTCTCTGCCTCCCAAGGGACTTCAAGGCATCCTTGAACAATATTGCAGGCCTGGGTGCTTGCCTACCCTTGGAGACACATGCTATACTCAATGCCAGTGGAAAGCTGAGAGACTGGGGCTGAGAGGTGAAGCCATGGCAATTAGGGCTGTGCAGCAGGTCTATGGCATTTAAAGTCATTGGCACACTGTCTAGGGCATAGTCCTCTGGCCCCTCATTCCCTCCCCACCCCTGCAACCCTCCCAGCAGCTCTTAGAGCCCACTGGAAAATCCTTCCTGGAGACTCCTATGTACTGGGTGCTGGGTGAGGGTGCTGAAACAGGAGAGGGACAGGCAGACACACGTTAACTTGCAGTTCCTATAAGGAGGTCCTAACGTGTTGGTGTGTGGGAGCAAACCCAGTGACTTATCCCCACAGTGGGTCCTGGGTTAATCAGCAAATGGTGGCAGGACCCTGCAGCCTGGGGCAAGGTAGTAAGCAGATTTGGGGCAAGGGCAGGGTCGGGGAATGGGGAAGTACCTGCGTGGAGCCAGATCTGTGCCAGCGTCATCCAGGGGTGTAGTGGACCCTGCTTGGGGGCGCTGCTCTGTAGAGATGAGGCCACTTCTGACAGTGCCTGCTCCACTCTGGAGGCTGCTACCGATGTGGCATGCACAGAGCCTGCGGGAGGTGTCAGAGAAGATGGGATCAGGGCTGGGCAACAGCCACCAGCCAACCACACAGCCGCCTCCTCCCCCACAAGGACACACGTGCACATGTACACGCACCCCTGCCCCAGCACGCTCCTGAGAATGTTTTCTTTTGTCCATAAGAAATGTGGACAGTTATCACTGGTGGGAACCTTGTGTTTTAGCTGATCCACTCAACAGACAGAGCACATGCTATGTGACGTGCCCCTTTCAGGAGCACAGCCTGGCACAGGGTGCGCGCTGGTGGCTGGCGGTGGGGGCAGAGCTTGGATAGGCAGCTGTGAGAAGGGTGCTAACACATTGGACCTTGCAAAGCACCCCTCTAAGGCCTCACCCTACAGCCCTGTAACAGAGAGGATTCGGTTGGTTCCTCTGGAGCTATATGTGTCCGAGAGGGGCTGGCTGTTACCAAGACAAACCCAAAAGCTGCCCCTTGGCTGAGGATAGCCCCAGCACGGCATTGGGAAGCATGATTTGACACTGCAGAAATGGCACACTTTGGTTCAGGGTCTAAGCCGAAGTCTGCTCTTGGGACGAACACTAGATCAGTAGAAGATGGGTTCTACCAAAGATGCTTGGGGCTCAGTATCTGCTTAGCTACTCTGTGAGAGCCGCTGTTCTGAGAAGATAAGGGAGGGGAACTCAGCAAGAACACCAATCCAGAGAGCAGGTGCAGGGTGTTCTGCAGCTGTCCATGGTGATGCTGACCAGGGACCACCTCTGCAGCACAGCTTGCTCCCCGCCTGTTCAGACTTCTGCACATGGAGTTTCGGGACTGACAGCAGGATTCTGAGTCTCACAATTAAAATTTAATATTTAGATTTGCCTGACAGCTTGTGGTAGAAATAAGTATTATGGCACAGTTGGTGAATAGTAGCTATAAGCTCATCATGGAGTTTAAAACACTGAAGATTAGGGTTGGTGCTATAGCTCATCAGGCTAATCCTCCACCTTCAAGCGCTAGGATTCCGCATGGGTGCTGGTTTGGGTTCCAGCTGCTCCACTTCCCTTCAGCTCCCTGCTTGTGGCCTGGGAAAGCAGTCTAGGACAGCCCAAAGTCTTGGGACCCTGCACCTGTGTGGGAGACCTGGAATAAACTTCTGACTCCTGTCTTCAGAAGAGCTCAGCTCCAGACATTGTGGCCACTTGGGGAGTGAATCACGATGAAAGATCTTTCCCTCTCTGTCTCTCCTTCAATCTGCCTTTCCAATAAATAATAAAATAAATCTCTAAGAAAATAGTGATGATTTATAGAGAGAAATGCTGAATATGCAAGCAACTCCAACCAGTCATACTGTGATGGCACAAAGTGATGAACGTCAATGCCCTTTTGATGGGGGTCTGGAATGCACTGCAATGTATTCATGTCAAGGACTCTTGGTAAGAGCAGACGCTCATGCACATGTGTTCTGAATGTTCTGATGGGATGGGAACATGGATTTCTCTAACACCTAGATCCCTTGGTCATCAGTAGAAACCCACCTTCTTGGGGCAGTCACACGCAGTGACTATGAGGACATATGGAGAAGAGTGGCCTTGAGGAAAGGTGTCATGAGTCCTCAGAGGGCAATGCTGCCCAGCAATGGGGCACTCAAGGCAAGTGGATCAAGATCCTAGCTGCAGGCATGAGGGGAACCCGCAACGCACCCCTAAGAGGCTACTTTGGTTTGCACTGCTGACTTTCAACTACTGGGCTTTCAAAAGACAGAATAGTCAAATGTTTAAGTAGTCACGGGTTCTTTTTTATTGTTGTTTTAATTTTATGTGGAAAATAATATTTCTGACTTTGATAAAAAGGACTTGACATAGTTTTCCTGTAGGTAATGAGCATTTAAATGAAATTCAGAGGGAGTTGCCATTGTCCTGTTTGGCCATTTCCAAGCTGGCCCACCTTGTCACCGACTACCTGAACAATAGCAGTTCTCAACCTTGGCATCACATTCTAGTCACCTGGGGATTTAAAAGCATCGTAATGTCACAGCTCTATCAAGTGAATCACCAGTGTTAGGATGGATAGCCATTGTGACCCAACAGGCAGCCACATCTGAGAATGACTTTCATGGAGGAGCAGGGTCAGCAGTGACATTTGGTCATCAGGCAAGCTGACCTGGACTCTCCCATGTCCTACCTGGTAAGCAGGGTCCAGGAGGAACCTGCTGTTGGATGCTGGGACAGTGCATCTCAGTGTCAGCTTCTTAATTTATTAGTTTAAATTTTATTTATTTTATTGCTTTTCAACTTATTAATTTATTATTGTATTATTTTAATATTATTTTAACCTGAAAGGCAGAGTGACAGAGATAGAGAGACAGAGAGAATCAATCTTCTATCCCACTGGTTTGCTCCAAAAATGCCTGTAACAGTCAGGGTTGGCCCAGGCTGAAACGAGGAGTATCAGAAACTCCACGGAGGTCTCCCACCTAGCTTACAGGAGCCCAAGGACTTGGGCCATCATCTGCTGCCTTCCCAGGCACTTTAGTGGGGAACTAGATTGGAAATAAAGCAGCCTGCACTCAGACTGGGACTCTAACATGGGACGCCTGTGTGTCAAGTGGCAGCTGAAGTCGCTACACCACGACACCTGTTCTTGTCTCAGATTTCTTGATTACAAAATTCCTTTAGGATCTGAAAAACTGTTTACATGGGTTATATTTATAGTAACATGCACAATCTTACAACTAAAACAGGTTTTAAAATATTCAGTTATTAATTCATTTAAAAATAATACAGGTGGGCATGTGGGCCTAGCAGTGAAGCTGTCAGTTGGAATGCCTGCATCCCATAGCAGAGTTTGAATCCTCACTGGACGCTCGATTCTGGCTTCCTGCTCATTCACAGGCTGAAGGCAGCTGGGGCTGACTCAAGCACTTGGGTTCCTGCCACCTACTGGCTCAGCCCAGGCCACTGCAGGCAGGTGGAGAGTGAACCAGCAGACTGTCTGTCTCCTTTTAGCAATCATAAAACATGTAGTTGATTCCTGACACTCACTTTCCATGACAATTTTTTTTTGTACTTTTACAGAATCTTTTTTTTTTTTGTTCTCACCAAGGCAGAGGAGTCATGTATTGTGTGGGGAGGAGGAGCACTGAGGACCTAAGGTGGAAGTGGACAAATCGAGGCCTGGAAAGGGAATCACAGGAGAGACTCCAGGGCCCATTTCCAACGGGGAATCTAAGACTCCGGAGAAATCAGTTTCCAAATAACCTGTTCTAAGCTGCAACACGTAAGCCAGGGACAGGGCACAGACTACCAGGCACCTCTCCTGATCACGCACATTGGAGATGCCAAATCCCTGTTTTACCCTCCTAAGGAGAGAGTGCAGCTCTTCCTCCACTCAGGACATGGCGGCTTGGAGAAGCCATGGCGAAACTGGCAGAACTCAGGGAAGCCTCCTACAGGGGAGATCATGCCCCCCGTCTGTGGATCACCGTGCAAGTGTGTGTGTTGAGGGGAGGGTGGCAGGGGGCACTACAGACGACACAGAGAACCAAGGCTCCTGACCTTAGGGTACTGTGAATCCACCCTTTGCCCCTCAGAAGCCTGTGGTGAAACTTGCCCCAAGCAGGATGCTGGGGCTAGCAGCTCAAGTCGCCTGTGTAACTGAAGTCTTTCTAAAACCCTTGACACTTGTGGTCAGCTTCACACAGACCTTGACATGGTGGCCTCATGCGAACCCTGTTTCAGCATTCATAAGGTTCTCAGAGCTAGTGGTTGTTGGTGTTCAGCCGAAAGGCACGGCTTGGTTATGCTGGCCTCCCTGTTCTTTCCCCAGCAGGCTTGCGGGGAGTGGCACTGGCTGTCTCTTTGGCTGCACCTGGACTGTTCTGATGGCATGCAGTAGGTGACTGCAGTCTGAAGGACCCTCTGCCTTTCACTCTACACTCATGTCTTCACGATATGGAGAAGAGGAACCAGATCTCGGATGAGCCTGGAACACCTCGTGGCTCTGTGCCCCATCCCCGGGGCAGGAACACCTCGTGGCTCTGTGCCCCATCCCCGGGGCAGGAACACCTCGTGGCTCTGTGCCCCATCCCCGGGGCAGGAATACCTCGTGGCTCTGTGCCCCATCCCCGGGGCAGGAACACCTCGTGGCTCTGTGTCCTGCTTCCCCCCGTGCCAGGACCTGTAGACCACCGTGCTGCTGGAGAAAGTCCTTAGAGGTCACTCACTTGGCTGCTCAGGCTTTGGGCAGCTCTTGGCTTCCCAGTCCTGAAGGATTTACTTGCTTCCTGGGCCCAGACATGGGAGACCAGATGGTGCACAGACCTGCACTCCAAGTGCCTTCTGCCTGAGGCCCCCACAGTGGAGACCTGCCCTCACTGTCTATTTCTGAAGAGGTTCAGCCATTCCTGGGTGGGGCACGCAGGAACCACCATCCCTGCATGTGGCCCTGTCCGGAGCTGATTCAGTGTGATCTACCAACAACAGCATTTAATCAGCTTCCAGGTGAACGCTGCACCCTCAAGACCATTAAAAGGAGAAGGGAAAAGGCATCAGCTTGTCTCCTGCACCGTCAAGAGCAAACGGTGGTCTCAGTGATGGGGGGTTCTGCCAGCAAGCCGGGCTTGAAGCTTTCCACTTTCAACAAGGAAAGAATTTCTGACTCTCAAAACAGGGCTTGGTTGTTCTTGCTGGTGCAGCATTGCACACTGCCGGGGCCCCATCACCCTCGTCCGTGCACCTGCTGCCTGTTTCAACAACTAGGCAGTCCCCGGGCTGACGGGCCTGAGGCCCAGGAGCAGAGACAGCGCCTCCCATTCCGTGAAGACACACAAAGGGATATAAACGCTCGTTTCCACGCTCAGGTAGGCCCAGGCGGTAGGGCGGTCCTGCTTTCTGAGGTTCTATGTGATTCTCCACCCAGCACCAGCCCAGGTCTCCCTTCCACACGTCTACTTCCACGAGAGCGCTCATCCCTCGCTTCATGGCATGTCTGATGGTGGCTGTGGCCTCTGCCACCTCCCACGCACTCCCCACTAACAGTGATGTCTGTGGGTGCTCTGCGTTCCTCTGACTAGCCAGCTTGGTCACCATCTTAAGCACATACAACCCCCTTTCACCCAGTGCAGAACAGATCATGGCAGTGGATGAGACGACCCGTCCCATGTGACAGGCTGTCAGCAACAGCTGAACCCTCCAGGGGGCGTGACTTGTCCTAGATGAGGGAGGTGGGGCGCTCTTTCTTAGGGTAGGCTTCAGGGAAGGATCCCACTGAGGCAGGAGGGACTGGGACTCAGCGTCCTCAGCAGGCATGCAGGGGCTGGCGTGCATGCTGCCAGTGGGCAGGGCCAGGTGGACACACACACACACACACACGCGCGTGTGGGGGAATGCCGTGCACAGGAGTGAGGGAAGATGCCAGCTGTCGCGTTTGGAGACAGTACCTTCTGGAGGACTACACCGGGCAGATGCTCTGTCTCCACCTAAACCCCTCCCTCCCCACTCAGTCAGAGTGCAGTGCCACTGGGGGAGGCCTCCAGGCGTGACGTCATTCTCACACCAGACATACCTCGCACGACATCTGAGAGTACCTGCACACTACTGAGGGGCGGGCTGGCTTGTCAGTCTCCTGTAATTCCATTCAATCTTGTTTAAACAAAGGCACCACACAACTAATTAAGGAGAACTACATTGATTTAAATTGGACTGAAATAGCAAGGAGGGGTTATGTTTGAAAACGGCTGAAGTGTAAAAACTACTACCCCTCATACAGAAATGTTTTGACATATACGTGATTTTTAAAAATAATCCTATTTTATCCTACTGAGCAGGAGGAGGGGGTAAAATATGACTAGTCACATCCTCATCGCCGGACATGCTCCTGGATGTTACAAAGAGTGAAGTTGCTGAGAGAAGTGCCGGCCACGTGGACAGAGAAGAGCCATGCTGTTCTCGGAGTCTGCCTCTCCGTCTCAGCTTGTCTGAGAGCTTCGTCTCACTGATCTGCTCTTTCTCTTCTGGTGACAGGTTCCTGAAGAGAGCAGCACTTCTGCCAGAATCAGGGGTGGGAGAAATCGAGCCAGGAGCCTGGCTGCAAGCTTGGTTTGAGCATGTTCTCGGACAGGGGAAGAAAACATCAACATTTTTCTCTAAAACAACCGCTGCAGAAGCTCTGAAGAACAGGACCACAGGGCTGGCACTGCGGGACAGGTTAAGATGCTGCCTGTAGTGTCCAGTGTCCAGGGTCAGTTCGAGTCCTGGCTGCTCCACTTTCCATCCAGCTCCCTGCTAATGCCCCTGGGAGAGGAGGGGAAGGTGTCCCATGTGCTCTGGCCCCTGCCACCCACATGGGAAGCCTGGATGGAGTTCTAGATTCCTGGCTTGGGCCTGGCTCAGCTTGGGCCATTGCAGCCATTTGGGGCGTGAACTCCTCTGTGACTTCCTGTCACGTTTGCCTTTCAAATAAATAAACATTTAGCAAAAAAAAAAAAGCAGGGACTGCCAGGTGGCTGGTTCAGGGCCTGGTCCCTAGCACCTGTGCTTCCCATCCTGGCTGCCACTCAGGGAGAAAGCACCTGATGGGGTCAAACAGCAGGCTCAGTTACTGCAGCTGTGTGTGACTAGAATAATGACAGGTGCATCTTCACAGGCTCAGAACCAGGGCCTCCCTGCACAGCTGGCCCTTGCACTTTGGGGTCCTAACCTCTGAGAGCTCTGGAGCTGCTCCTCTGGAAAACCCTGGAGTCTGTTCCCTATATGCACCACAGCTCACTGAAACCAGAAAGGGCAGTCTGAAGATTTCCAAGCAGCCCATCTTTGTGAAAACCAAGAGGAACTCGCCAGTGAAATCCTTTTTTTTTTTTTTTTTTTTTACAAAGAACCTGGGTGAGAATGCTAACACTGAGCATCTGTCTCTTCTGCTATAGGATGCTTCCCACTGCTCCGTCCCCCTCTTCCCCAGTCTGAGCTGAGGGACACCAACTCTGGAAACCAGATGCAAAGGGCCTGAGATCATTCAAATGTGCTGAGCATGTACATGAATGCATGTGTACATGATCAGCATTTCCCAAAATGCAATCAGTCTGCAGGTAGGTGGGTGGGGGAAGTGATGATGAAATCAGCTTGGAAACGTTAGGCTGCACAGTCTTGGGTCTGTAGGCAGGAGACAGACCATTTTCCCAAAGTATCTGGAAGAATCCAGGAACCAGCTTGTGGGATATGCGGCAATTCATTAATGACCCAAAGCACGGCCCCTGCGGCCAGGGGAACGAGGTCTCCTTGAAATCACAGAAGATGTGGTTGTAAGTTTTATGAGGCCTACTCAGCTTATTTTAGGAAAATTAATGACTAGAATCATTTCCATGTGTGTCAGTCATGGTTGCCCTGGACAGGAGCGGAAGATACAGAGTGGCAGTCCCTGCCTCCAGTGCTAACGGCGCTCCTCACCTGGGCACTGCATGTTCCTCTCTGGGCATGCTTGCTGCCCCATGCCTTCTGTTGTAGTCCTGCTCAGACCAGTACTGCCCCCTTGGTAACAGAACCCAAGCTGCGGCAGAATGTGCTGGGATCTAAAGACAGTCAGGTGCTGAGTGGCAAAGCGCACAGGAGTGGGCAGGCAAGCGGCAGCGGCACAGATATCCACACCATCTCGACACCCCCAACACTCAACAACCACAGTCCACATTCCACGGTGGAGGGCAGTGTGATTCGGGGGGCTCTCAGCAGGGTGGGGAGTGAATAAGTAGGAGAACTACTTACTAACTGAAAAGAGGGAGGGAAAACCATGAAAATGTGCTTCTGGTGAGCTGCCTTGGAACAACAAATCAAATCAGAAATTAAAACCAAGAAATGGAACACTGAGAGAAATCAAAATCGAGGCAAAAAGAAAAAAAAAATGTGAACAGAGTTCTAATAACCTTCCAACTGTTAAGTCTGGCTGACTGGAATCAAGCTTCAATTCAAGAATCATAGACATTTTCCCACTAACAATGGTTTTCTTTTTGTCCAAACTGGAGGAAGGCTGCCCGGGCATTCCCCTCCCCATGGCAGTGCTCACCAAGCGCATGAAAGCCGACCAAGCTCTGTAATGTTTTGTTTCCAGCGCAGGAAATTCCAATGCGAAGGGGAAAAAATAATCTAGCCCCAGCAGGTTCCAGATCTTTCCACACATTAACCCTAATCAGGTTGAGGAGCTGTGGAAGGGGTGGTTAGGCTGGTTGGAAGGAGAGGCCTGGGTGATGTGCTTGTCCCGTATCCGGTTCACTGCAGTTCTAATCAAGCGGTTTTGCACTTGTCACACACTTTCTCTCTTCCCTACTAACGTAAGTATCTACAGAAAGATCGAGAAAATTCTTGGGCGTTTTGGCTTCGGGGAAACCCCTGGTTCCTGGCTGGGCACTCCCTGAGGGTGGACAGGGGAAGTTATGGCCTTACAAAGAATAAGATAAGCAATCAGCTCTGCAGGGGAAGTATAGGTGAAATCTAGCAGGAAGCCAGGCGGGTACATGTGGCCCTGACCCATTATTCATTCATCTGACAGAAGGTGCCCCGTTGGGAGAGCCAGGACTCCTCTCTTGAAAGGTCCAAGGGCACAACAGGCCCCCCAGCAAGCAACACGGAAGGCCTGGAGAGAAGACATGGTGCCATTCCACCACTGAAGAGGTGAGACAGCAGTCAATGTGAAAATCAATATTTTTCTGGAAAAATCTATGTTGTCAATTTGTCCCCAGGTATTAGATTGAGGGGAAAATGTCTATTTTTAAGAAGGAAAATAAAAATGACACACACAGTTTATGCACATGATTGTTATCTTCCACTGTACGCAGTGGCAACTGTCTTAGGAGTGGTGATCGGAACACGGAAGATGCAGATAAGCAAGGCCGCCGCGCTGCCTGCTCTGTGTGGCTTATTTTGAATGGAAGCCTTGTTTCTGCACTGCAGTGTGCACGTGTGTGTGTTCAGTGCAGTGGGCTGGCCATCCGAAACATGAGCACATCACCGAAAGGGGCTCTCTCGGGCTGCAGTTCCACTTACGAGCTTTTGTGCAGCCTGTAACTGAGTGTGGGAACAAGATGAACCCTTGGGAAGCACGGATCCAGAGATTAGATTTTTTTGGGCAGTGCTGGCAGCAAAGTGAACATTAAATAGATGAGAGACACAAAATTGGGATGGCACCATTTAAGCATTTAACCAAACAGGGTTTCATTTTTTTACACAGGGATCTTTTTTTCTTCTCTTAATTGGCAGGTCCTGGGTATCCCTAAAACAGACTTTGAAAATTTCCATATTATTATTATTATTATTATCCATATATTATTTAAAAGAGGCTAAAATATTGTTCAATTTGCCTACTCTGTTTCCTAACACAAGCCTTACCCTACATGTTCCTTCCTTGCAAATGGAAAACAGCAGAAGCACTTTCTCAGAATGTGACCCACTGGCATGGAAATCACCAAGGACGAGGTCCCCCCAGGCCTGAGCAATCATGGGCTGGGGGTGGGTGATGGTGGAGGTGGCGGCTGTGGTGGTTGAAATGCAAAGTATAGTTTGAAAATCACATACTGAAATGACAGGTGGTCCTTCACTTCAGAATATAGCCTGGACTATCATAGGCTGGTTGAAATAAACTAATTCCTAAAATAAAAGCAATTTTTGAATTCAAATTAATTTTTAAATTGAAGTCTAGGAAATTTGGGGATGAAATGATTATTTCTAAATGTCCTGCTTTGCCTGTTCTTCCATGGGACTGTCAAGTCTGGAGGGACAGAGAAGGCCCCACTTGCTGGCAGCCACACTCTGGGGAAGCCAGCATCTTCTGCCCTCCCCCTAGCAGGTCACCCACACTTCTCAGAGTAGGCCTCAACCTGGGCACCAGCACCTGATCCCTCTGGTTCCCTTTGGCCCCCAAAAGCTTTGGGGTTTCCAAATCTGTGAGATTTTCTCTCTAACAAGATTGAGGGATTCTCTCCAGGCCAGCTCATCAGTTAGGAAGATTATCAGACAGCAAAACATCAGGCAGATGAAGCAGACCCAAGAAGAAAGGCAAAACCGTGTTTACAGAGAGAGGGCTCCCGGCGGGGACCAGAGTCACTGAACGCGTGAGCGGCGGCGGGGGGCCACACAAAGGTGTCGGGTTTGGGATGAGAATGGAGATGAGAAGACATAAACAGGTGGAGAGGAGATTCGGTTCTTGACAGAGAAGAGGAGGAGGAGGAGGAATCTGACACTAAAAAAGCGAAAAGAGAAAAAAAAGGATAAAGGCAAAAAAAAAAAAACCTTTAGAAACATAAAGAAAAAAATGAACTAGTTTTTAAATATACTCACATAAGCTGCAAAGAAAATGAGGTCATGTAATACACAATTATTCCTCTAGTTGACAACAGAGTATAAGTGCGTTTCGAAGAAAACAACTTTGCTTTTCTGCTGGTTGTTTACCTGTTCTGCGCCAACACCATGGGATAAAAATAACTCGGATTCACCTGGGCACAAACTCAGTGGTGTGCTCCACCGAAAATAATGGATCATTAACCATAATATCCAGAACACTGCAGAGAATGCTATTTGCCTTTCAGCTGGCAAGCCTTAGGACTCAAATTTTCTAGGGGCGGGTATGTGTGTGTAGCACTTACAGGAGCTAAGGTGTTCCGGGGCAGTCGAGAGAGGCGCAGTGAGTGTGTGTGTGTGTGTACACAGGAGCTAAGATGTCCCAAGGGGCAGTGTAGAGAGATACAGTAACATGTCAGGATGCCAGCATCTTGGAGTCTGGGTGCTAGGATTTCCTGGAAACCTATGGCAGATGTGCTGGGTTGGGCATTTTGAACAGGAAGCTGTCCCAGCTTCACACAGCACAGCTGGAGGGATACCTGGCAGTGTGGATACCACCACAGCTGCAGTGAGAGCTGTACCCAAACACAATGGGTCAGACTTGCAAGTTCAAAGAACGCCTCTGCTTTGGATAGATGTCCAGTAATATCCACCAATGACAAAAGACAAATCCCCTTACCCTACATCCTGTTTTGAAGGTACTCTATTTAAGGAACTATCAACTTATTCCAAATAAAAGACAATGACTCATGGCTTCAAAGTAAAAACTGTCACTCGATTCCTCTTTTTCACTGGCTGGGGCTGCGTAGATGGTAGCGGTGAGGGGCAGGCGGGGTGGAGCGGGAGAAAGCCAGAGGTGACATTAGAAGGGAAATCATGTTCTGTTAGGAGGACTTTTTTAGTGTGACACATCCAGCTAGTTAATGAAACAAAATCCCCCTCTGGTGGCCGCAGAGGATTTGGTCAGTGCCAACTGCCCCCCCAGCAGGGCTCCTTTCACAGGCCGTAGTCAGGTCTGCGTGTGGACAGTTTCAGGGGTGGGAAGCCAAATTCCAGATTACCAGTTTCTTCTGAAGTCAGGAACATGGAATGTGTGCTGTATGGTTGGGATTTGGGATGATGATATTTTGGTGTATATATATATATATATATTTTTTTTAAACTTGTATCTATCAGGCATCTATCCTGAGATTTTTTTACAAGCAAAATAGATGTCTTAGATTTGTTGCCAACTACCCTGTAAAAGCCAAGGTGTGTGACAGGAGAGGACAGGACAGGCACCCTCCCTGGGGGAGCATGGCTCTACGTAATGAATGAGAAGTCACCATATCTGCCCCTTTTGTTCTGGTGTGTTGAACCCCCTCCCCCCCAGCATACACATAACAGACAAATAGAAAGAAATTCTGTTTTGGGGAAACCCAAAATCTCTCCAAGAGAACCTGAGGCCGTTCACCTGACTTTGGCCGTGACCCCTCCTGATTCTGGCGTGGTCTAGCTTTGCTGGATTAGATGCCTGAGCCCTTTGGAACGGATTTAGGAAAATAGTGAGATGCTGGGCATGGCATGGACCAAGGTAATGGCCACACTGCCCCTAACAGGGCGGGGCTCTCCCAGATGGCATCAGTTCTCAGGTCATTTGGGGCCTGACCCAGGACAGGTTCCTACTCTCCCGGTCCCTACAGTCCAGTGGCTTTTCTGAATGGGCAGCACTGCTGGACATATTCAAGAGTAGCCACTGCCCATTAGTACCAATGGAGCTGAAGCTGCAACAAAGGAAATGAAAGAAAAATGGCTGAGGTCTTGCCAGATCGGAGGAGGGTGGACATGGGACACTGAGGATCTTCTCTGTGGACAGGAAGGGAGGCATCTTCAGGGTGTGGCATGAGAAGGGCCAGGTAGCTGAACAGTGTCTGCCACGAGTGACCACTTGTGTCATGGCCAGGGAGGGTACTGTGTACCCTGTGAAGACCAGGATGGTGGTGGGGGGGACAGGCAGTGAACAGAAAGCAAATAGGAACAGTTAGTTGCCTTTAGGGAACGGGAAGACGGAGGAGGGTCCGTGGGGGTAGCTTAACTTCTCTGGGGGTACCTCCAAATTAGAGCTCTGGCTTTATGAATTACGTAAACCTGTTTCCTCTTGCAATGAAATCAAGATGCGAGAAATAAACTCTGTGGGTGGCTCACAGCAGCTGGGTGAGTAAGAGAGGCGCGGCCCCTCCGGTGACCACACGAAGAACAGAATTACATAAAACTGGGCTTTGTTCACCAGGGTGGTGGCACCTGTCTCGGGCAGGCTTTCTGACTCGTCACATCTTGGACTTACACAGTCATTTCAGAATGTGCTAGCCTTGTGTACAAGTCATCTGGTGTTGGAAAGGCCTGGGACTTGGTCTTCCCCTTGCTGATGCCCTGTCTTTTGGTTAAATGGTGGCATGTCAGTCAACATTTGGCAGCTGAGGGTGGGACCAGAGGAAGGCCTGTGCAGGGATCCTGGACATCATCCAGTAATGACAGCAAATGGCGTGGCCAGTGCCCGGGAAGCTGAGGTTTCCCCCATTGTTGAGGAGGGCACAGGAACCGGCAGGCCAGGCTCCAAACCCCTGGAATCCCTGAGAGTGGGCGGGTGGTATGGCGGCCTTGATGCCACAAGGGGAGGGGAGGGCTGGGCACTCACTAGGCAACGTGACATCAGATGAGGCAAAAGCGAGAATGAAGAATAAGGCCCTCACTTATCTTTTGCCACTTTGTGTTTGCAATGTGATGGAGTGAGGCAGTATAGTCTAGGGGCATCTAGGGAAATCAAGGCCGGGCCAGCCAGATGAAGAGGGGGTCAGGACTTGCATGACTGTCCTCACAGGACAGGGAGGAGGCGGGGGAGGACAGCTCTGGGCAGCTGCAGCAGTGGCTCTGGATTGGCCAAATCGCTGCTGGTGCCATAATAAGCGAACCTCCTCCTCCATTTCTTGCCTCACTTTGCATTGGTCAGTGCTTCCAGCCTGACCTTCCACTTCCGTCTCTCAGGACTAGAGCCAGGAAGCAGGGGTCTGCTGAGCTACACCAGCCAGAGTCTCTTACCCCACCAATGCCTGTTGACCAGTCCAGCAACCAAGCCCTCTAGAGGGCAATGCTTTTCTGTGGCTTGGTCACTCTACATTTTGAGCAATAGCTGCAGGCCCGGCTAAACGACATACTTTTATAATTTGTGCTGCTTCTAATGGCCAACAATCTTGTGATCTAGCAGCCTGTGTGGCCCTTGGATCAGATATCTGTGGTTGACTGTAAATTGGGGGTCAGGGACCTAGTGTAGGAATGCAAGGTTGTTAGGTCTGAGTCTTCCTGTCCCCCCTGGGGGTGGCTACCCCAGCACCTGTGCTCTTTGAGGCCTGACTCAGGGTCGCTCTCTGACTTGTCCTGGTAGGGCTCAGTTGGGAAACAGGACATGGCTTGGGATTGGAGAAGGACCTTGGGGTTCTTTCCATGAGGCCAGCCAGCCCTTCAACCTATAGCATCTCCTGCAGGAAGGAGTAATAAGAACTGGTGCTTGAGCAGGCCTTAGGATTATCGTGAAGACCCAAGGTAGGATGAATTTCATCATGAGTGTGTGGTCTGCTCTCCCCTGTGTTGTCACTGCACAGCCAGCACCACTACCAGAGTAACTTGTGGGAACTGTGGAGGGGTACTTACTGCTCCCCGCGACGCAGGCAGGTACAAAACACACCCAGCAAGGCAGGAGTGCTCACTCAGTCAGCTCAAGTGAGGGTGGTAGATTAAGCACTTCAGAATCCACTCGTCACCCTGTGGGGGTCTTTCTGCTTGGTGTGTGTGTGTGTGTGATGTTGATTAGAAATTGAAACCTTGATTTTAGGTCTGAACCCTAAAGAGTGAGGGAGACACATAAAAGCCAAAGGGAACCTAATGGGCACCTGGACATTTGATTTTAGCTTGCATTTTAAAGCTCCCAGAGCAAGAGGTGGACATTGATTTCAAACAGTTGTTTGGGGCAAAAAATATTACCCCTTCCCTGCCCCCACTGTAAAACAACACTGGAGGAGACGGCCCCCTTGACCAAGACTCTAACCTATAGGGGTAAGGAATTCTCCCAGTCCCAGGCCTGGCAGCCCTGCCCACCAGGGACCTGCCGCAGCCTCTCTCGCTCACTACGTGACCCAGTGTGCTCCCAGTCTCACCTGTCTCAGGATCACTGAAGTCTGGCAGAGTGATGGTGTTGAGCTGCCGTCTGTCTGCAATGGTCCGATCCAAGAGGCTGCTTCCACGCCCAGAATCACTGCAAGCAAGGCACCACAAGGGATTAGCCCCCGGGATAGGCATGGAGGGAAGGGCACAGAGACGCAACAAGAAAACTTCTCCTTTCTACAGCCACCACCATTGCCATAGTGCAGCGACCTCCTCCTGCGCCTTGCATGTCCCTCCTGTGCAGCAGGCATTGCACCCCTGCCCCTAACCCTGCCATCCCTGTCCCCTACCATCTGCAGGGGTCCTTTCTCAGGTCTTAGGATACAACAAAAAGCTGAAGCCAGGTTCTCGACGGGCCTCCTTGTTTGGGGGAGACTTGGCATTCAGGGAGACCTCGAGACCACCAGCCTCTGAGTGGAATGTGAAACATCCTCTGCCTGGCAGTCCAGATAGTTCTAAGGTCTCTGTTTTGCAAGGCCACAGCATCATCTGGGTTCCCAGAAGCAGCCTTTGAGACACATGGCCTGGCTGTTGAGGGAACCGCAGGAGGGGGCAATGTGGCATGGGTCAATGAATGTGCTGCAGTCCTATCTGGCGTTCCTGGGCTGCACAAGCTGGCCTGAGGGAGATCTGAAGGGACTTGGGGAGAACACAGCAGCCAGTCACTGTTTCAGCCGCTGGACTGCCAATGCCACCTGCATTGCCCACCTTCCCGGACGCTTCTTCTCCAGCCAGAGCCTCCCCAGCATGTCTGATGAGGCCACGTGGAGACCATACCAAGCCTCACTGGGAAGGAAACGGCCCAGAGAGACTTTTTTTTTTAAATTTGTGCTTTTCGCTTTCTCTGTTATGATGCTCTATCAAAGCAATTTCAACAAGACCCTATCTGCTCCTAGGGCCAGAGTCCCCAGGGCCTCTCTCTGAAGCCCAGGGTGCTACAAGGGGGTTTCTGATTGTTGAGAAGCTCGTGGTTCATGAGAATGGCACCCACTTTATTTCTTCTTAGTGGCTGTCGCTAGTAAGAGTTTAGACAAGATCTGGCACGGAGCTCAGGCTGCCACTTCTGTGCGCAGTGAGGCAGGAACCACAGGACCCGCCTTCAGCACAGACTTCTCGTCAGCCTGTGATTAGGACCTCACCCCAAACACATGTTTTAGAGGCTGCTCTAACTCATTTCCCCTACTACAAAGCACTAAATGCCTCTGAATAGAAAAACGCACACACACACACACACACAAAATAAAAAAAAAAAACCACAAAAGTGCCTGTAAATTTTTACTAATTATGGAGTGTGATGATTTTGAGCATTGGCTTGTTCTGACAGCATTTGTAATGTAGATATCAAGAAGTACTCATTGTCTGAACATTGTGAAGGTTCTGGACTTTTCCAGAAGGCTTGGTTTCACAGTACAGTGATGTTTTCATCACTGGGGCGCGGTGCGGGGGGGTGTTGGATCATGGATGTGCAACAGATAGTGGCTCTGTGAAGGAAGGATCGGCCTGGGATGCTGAGAGCCAGCTGGGGTCCTGCCTGGGAATAGAGGTGGGGGAGGAGTGCTTCTTGGAGCATGCCCTCTAGCTTTTCCTCTTTTCAGGTCATAGGGCACAGGTTTGGCTGCCATGTGTGACTTTGGGAAAGACCCAGAAACCGGGGTCCTGGGACTCTGATGTGGCTCTGGTCTCCCATCCTAACCTTTCTCTAATAAGTGGGACATTTGGGACAAGGCCATTTTCCCTGTGCCTCAGTGACTGTGCCAGTCCTCTGCGGATAAGCATTGTCTGCTCGCGCAGAACTGTATGAGGAGGAGGTGAGGTCAGGCAGGCAGAGTATTCTTAGGAGTTCCCACTCCCAGCTACATCAAGGGTAGGGGTTGGGGGGGTTCCTATAAATGTGTACCCTACAACTGTGCCTCTGGGGTTAAGCGGACTGGCTGATTTCTGCAGACACCCTAGCGCTGGGTTTCTGGTGGGATGCTGGGAGCTGTGGGGGAGCTGAATTAAGGACCTTCTATTCTAAATGTTATGAACCCTGGGGCCAGTGCTGTGGCACAGCAAGCTCAGCCATCACCGGGGATCCTGGATACTCCACTTCCAGCCCATATTCCTGCTAGTGCAGCTGGGAGGACAGTGGAGGATGGCCCAGGTATTTAGGTTCCTGCCACACTCGTGGGAGATCAGGATGGAGTTCCTGGCTCCTGGCACCTGGTCTGCCAGGCCCTGGCTGCTGTAGCCATCTGGGGAGTAAACCAGCAGGTCGAAGATCTCTTTCTCTCTCTGAAAAACCTACAACAAAACTGATATTCTTGATTTGTGAGCCTCACCCCCTCTGTAGGATGAGAACATTCTCTTAGCCTGTCCTCCTCATTCCTGGACACTGGTGAACACCCACAATGCACAGGTTTTGTCTCCGCACTGACTGCTTTCTCTCTAAATTATCAGGGGCTTCTGATTGGGGAGAATTTTCTGGGAGCATCAAGCAATTTCTCTTTAAAGATTTATTTATTTATTTACTTATACTGGAAAACTCAGATTTACAGAGAAGGAGAGACATAGAGAGAAAGATCTTTTGTCTGCTGATTCACCCTCTGAGTAACTGCAATGGCCAGAGCTAAACTGACCCAAAGTCAGGAGCCAGGAGCTTCTTCCAGTTCTCACATGGGTGCAGGTTCCCAAGGCTTTGGGCCATACTCTTCTGCTTTCCTGGCTAAAAGCAGGGAGCTGAATGGGAAGTGAAACAGCTGGGGCACAAACTGGGGCCCATATGGGATCCCAGCAGTTGCAAGGCAAGGACTTTAGCCACTAGGCCATCACACAGGACCCTCAAGCAATTTCTAGTTCATTTTTTTGGTGTGGGGTCTTATGCTGCCAAAATATGCTTTTACGATGATCCACAGAGTGTGGCAGAAGGGGTACACTCAAGAGGGCAAGTCTGGGCTCGTCCACCCCAACCGGCCTCTCTCCTCCAAGACATCTACCCCTTCCCTTCTCCTTTGGTTGCCTGGGGCACTGCCTAGGGGAGGACAGCAGGAAGGGACAGAAAACCATTCCTGGTCAGTGGAGCTGTGAGCAATTGGAGGGTTTGGGGAGAGGACACTGGAGGTGCAGACGCCCACATGTGCAAAGCTCCACATCCTGGGAACTTCTGTGCCCCTGTTAGGGCTGAGTCAGTTAGGGTAATGGCCAAAGTTACATTGCAAACTGGAGGCTCCCCTTGGAAATCCTTAGGGCTCTACTGTCACACCACTCCAAACCCAGGAGGCAGGGTGTGGAGGCAGACTAGAAAGCCAGAATCCTGGAGTTCTAGTCGCAACTCGGCCCCTTCTCAGCTCCTGAAACAGTGGTGCCTGGCACACAAGGAAAATTGGCTCCAACAGAACAGCCCGGGTAGGAAGCAAGAGCAGGGGCAAATGGAACCAGAGCGGCTTCCTTCTGGGCCTGCTAGGCCTGGTTGATAGGATCAAGGCAAGGTCAGATGTAGGAGTTAGCAGTTAGGATGTTGGTTAGGATGCTTGAATCCGTACTGGAACTCCTAGGTTGGTTTCTTAGTTCTGCTCTCTGAATCAGTCTCTAGCCAGTACAGACCCTGAGAGGCATCAGGTCGTGGTTCAAGTCCACGTGAGAGACCTGGACTGGATCCCTGGCTCTCGGCTTGCCTCTAGTCCCCTCACCACCAACATTCCCATTCCAGCTGTTAGAGTGAACCAGCTGATGGGAGCTCTTTGTGCCTATCTCTCTGCCTCATGAGCTAAAAAGGAAAAAAAAAAAAAGAATAAAGGGAGGGTTCCAATATCCCTACACTTTATGGCATAATCCCCACGCTTCAATTCCATAATCAGAAAAGTGGGTATAGTATGAAATGGCATTTGCCAACATTGTGGGGATGGTGTGAAATGCAATGAGAACAAACATTATATAAAAAAGGGAGAAATTCCACCACAACACTGGTGACTGTTAGCATGAAATGGGGTCTCCAATATCCAGTTGTGGTTGGAACAAGGAAAATGTGTATGTGAACTTCAAGTGCCAATTTTTAGTAAGTGACTAAAATAGGACTTAGGAAGAAGACACCTTCTCTTCATCAGCTGGGCAGGCCAGCTTGTGGCTGAATATGGAGACGGTTCAAGTAGCAATGACAAGAGAGTGAAAAAAATAGTTAAAAGTAAAAAAGAAAAAAGAAAAGCAATTGGCTATTAGCTAGGGAGAGAGAGGTCGCTTCCTATCGAGGTAGGAGCAGTTTGAATCCCCGCTCTGTTACTTATTTAACTGGGAAAATGTAGGCAAGTGATTTAGCCCCCTTTAGCTTCAATTTCACTTTCTACAAAGTGGAAATAACAGTAGTTATCTTGCCAGGCGAGCATGGGGATGGGAGATAATGTACAAACGGCCCAGCACAGTGCTGCCTCGGGAAAGTTTCAGTCAATGTGGTTATTACTGTCCCTTGTGGAAATGCTGGGGTTTACAGCACAGGGAGCCTGCTGGGGAGATGCCAGGCCGAACATATGCTGCCTTGAATGGCCATGTCGGTATGCACAAGAACTCAGGGAGCTTTCTACTTCTGTAAGGCAGAGAAGACAAAACATGAGGCAGATTTCTTGCCCAAACGCAAGCAAAACTGCAGACCCAAGGAAACATGATCTAGGCTTCTGAAATGACAAACACCTCGCCAAAGCGCACACTCCAGAAGACGCCACCCACTGCTTTGCTTGCAGCAGGAGATGCATTCTCCCAACAGCAGGTGGAAGGCTATGTGCAAGTTTTCTAAGGCTCAGCTCACCCACCAGCACATAGTGTAGAAATAAAGAAGACTGAATTAGCTGCTGGGAACATGAAGTGAGAGTTGATCTCTGGCCATGCACTCCCTGCTACCGCCCTGGGCCTTGCCGCCTTCCTGCCCTGGAGGCCTGGACAGAGAAGGATGGATTTAGTTGGAAGCAGATCAGGAAGACCGGAAACCCTGGCAGGTGGAGCAACGGTCCCACCACAACTGAGCATGCTCAGAAAAAGGGCACCCAGAGCTAGGAAGCAGGCGAGGGAACTAATCTGGGGAGATTAGCTTCCTGCCAAAATGTGTTCTGTTTCCTTCTCCGTTTATTTTTAAGAATGGCACTTGTTTGTGTGATTCTTCCCTTTTCTAGAGCACTGTGTGATCTGAGGACGTCAGGCTGGGGGACCCACAGGTGCCCTGCACTGGGGTTGAGAAGAGTGCCCTCCCCTCTAGCCTACAGCTGTGCCACCTTCAAACATTCTTATATTGCCAGGCCTACTGCTTACCCAAGCTGTTGAGAGAGGATGTCTAAATTTGCACAATGGTGAGGGCTGCGGGAAAAGCATTTATTTATATCCCAGAGAAAATAAAGTTGAAACAGCCAGGATGTTCCTTAATAAGGGGCTGCTCGGTCACCAGCCCTGGCTGGAGGAGCCCTTCGGCCACCCACTCCTGCCCTCCAGCTCTGCCCAGGCAGGCCAGGCTCCTCCCAGCCCTGTTCTGACACATCCCTCAGGAAACGGAGGGAGGATGGCCAGAGCCCAGACATTTGGTTAGGTATTTTTAAAAGTTTCCTAATTCTGCTATTTTTTTCCTCTCTTCACATTCAATATTCTTGGTTGCTAAGTGGGAGGGAATGTGGGGAGGTGGGAGAGGTGTGGAGAATGGAGGGAGGGTGGGCGGCGGTGGCAATGTTGAAGGCTTCTGTTCTTCTTGGGGAAGGGGGTGCAGGCAGAGGGAGGGTCCCGACCTGGCCCACATCCCCCAGCCCCAGGCTTATGGCAGACCAGGAGTGGGGGTCCTTGAGGGAAGGCAGTCACAGACACTTTCTGTTTTCCGAGTGGTTTTAGCAGAAGATGCCCGAGAAGGGGGCCAGGTCAACCTCAGGATTACCTTTCACCTAGAGGAAGTGGGAGGCACCCTGCACCAGGAGGAGTTCCCTGCTAAATCCTACAAGTGGAGACTGGACCAACGGCTGGTCTTCCAGGCTCCCCCATTCCTCCCAGCAGCACCACCCATGGGATCACAGTCTGAGGTGGGGTCTCTGGAGGCCTACACCAGGCACTGGTGTTAAATAACAGGCCTCATGGACCCCTCTGCTTCCCAGCGTCCTGGCCCTGGGCAGGCCACGCCCTTTGTGCACATTTACCAATTGAGTGGCACATTCCTAGGCAGCTGAAGGTAGGCTGTCTCTACTGACACCTCGCTGTGAACTTGAAAACATACTCTGGCTGTAATCTCTGGATCTGCAGCCCCTTATCATAGATCACTACCTTCACAGGGAAGCACCCACAGTCAGCTAAACCACCACCAGGAAAAACTGGCCAATACTTGAAAACAGGCAAAGAGGGAGAAAACTAGCGGCTGACAGCCCACCTTGCCCAGGTTGTCTGAATCTAGAGTGGGGTACCCTGCCGACTTGGCGATGTCACAGCTCTGTTAGGCCACAAACCAAGAAGAGCTCTTGTTGGGTAGGCGCAAAGTCTGAATTTTCACCTTACAGAAGACACGATCCCAAGCAATGCATTCCAACACCACCATGGGCCACTGTCGACACCCATCTGCAAATTCTGGCATGTCTGCCTATACTTAGCTGCCTTCCCAATTATTTGATCAAATCTGAATGTCTCACTGGCCCCACATTGGGAAATGAGGTAGGTTAAATCCTTGGCACATGCTCATGTGATACCTGTCTGAGTCACGAGTTTAACCTTTGGACAGTGACGCCTTATCATGGTAACAGCCATGTCCCCTCTCCCTAGTAGGATGTGGTCTCTCATACGACACAGATGGATGAGCAGGCTCATAAATGAGTTAAGTAAACAGTTGCTGGAGACACGTCAGAGAGCCTGTTTGTGGTTTAGAGCTTGTTGGTCCCCACAGTGGGCTGCAGTGGCTGCTTCAGAACCTCGTATACATGGAATGTTGAAACTCCCAGGCTCTGCCACCTGTGGGACCCGGGCGGGGTATGGGGTGGTGCTCAGGGAGTAGTGACAAGGTCAGTGCCTGCCCATGTCATTCAGAGGAGGCACCGATGGGCAGGGGCCCAGGCAAAACTCATGCAAAGCAGACCCGGTTGGCCTCTTACCTGGGGTTGGTGAGGTTGTAGCAAGATTTCCATATCTGTAACATGTGCTTGCAGGTGAGCAGTGCCTCATCTGGGCCCCGGCAGAGTGACTCCAACTTCACTTTGGAAAACAGTAGTCTGTGTGGGTACAGAAGACAACACAGCTCAAGCCAGACCGAGAGGTGGGCTTAGCCCCAGCATTAGGGGTGTGTGTGTGCCTGCACCCACTGAGAAAGGGGCCATGCACATGCCTGGGCCCTGGGAAGCATAGCGTCCATTTCAGTGAGGCAGAAGCAGTCCAGCAAGACCCTGTGTGGTGGGCAGGTGCCAAGCCTCCAGGTGGCCCATATGATCGGAACACAAGGGTCTTACAAACAGCATGCTCTTCAGGAGAAGACAAACCAACAAAAGCCAGTTCATTTGGAGGTTTCAAAATTTCCTTAATTAACAAAATCACATAGGAGACAAGCCTCCGTATTCTTAACCACACCCCAGGAACCGTTCATGATGATGCTTAGCATCCACTCTGCTTCAGAAGGGCGGATTTGAAGCACACAACAAAAGGGGGCATGGGGCTCAGAGCCCCTGCTGACCTGCCCCAACCCTGCTGGTCAAGGGCTAGGATTTGGTTAACTCCTCCCGCCCTCCCCAAGCCTGTCTGCTTGCTTCTGTGCCCCTCCTCCAGACCCACTGAGAAGCTTAGGACCTTCTTTCTTTTGTGGTCTCTCAGGCCTTTTCTGTTCCCACAGCTCACATTGCCTCTCTGGAGTCCTTGGCTCTTGGGGTCCCAGGACTCATCACTGCCCTCAGGGAAACCCCAGCATGAGTGCCAATCCCACCCCATCCTCTGATCTCCCAGCAGTCAGAAGTCTAACCATCAAGATCAAAGCTCACTCTCATTCCTGGCTGGAGACACAGCCATGCTTCCTGGCCACCTGTCACCAAAACAAGTCAGAACCCCTGACTGAGTTCTTAAAGGCCCCTCTGGCTGCTCAGATCTCCCCATCCTGTTCAGTGCCCTGCATTGCTCCCCCAAGTGAAACCCACTGCACAGATGCTGTGCCTCTTACACAACCTGATGGCACTCCATGCTCCCCCCATCTGAATCTCTGCCAATCTGATCTCTTTCCCGCTTCCCAAAGCCAGCTTAGACCTCACTCCTCAGAGAGGCCCTCCACTGCCAGTGCTTCCATCCTCTTTGCTCAGCAGGTACCACATTCGCTGATACCTGTCCTTGGTAGAGAGAAGACAGGGAGACGCTCCTTTCCGAGAGGCCTCTCCATGTTTGATCCTTAGTACATGCTGTCAGGGACATGGAGGAAGCCTGGGGGGCAGTGTCTCCCATGTGGGAAACAAACTTCACAACAGCAAATTTCAGTTTTGTGGATGTGATTTTCCCTGAATATTCCCTGAAAATATATCCTTGATCTATTCTCTAGCTCCTTCTCTGGCCTCACTTTCCCAGGACCTCCAGCTGTTCTCTGAGCTGGCTTACTTTCTCTGTAAACTACAGAAGGTAAAGAAAAGACAACTCTCATGATTTAAGGTAACACAGAATTCCTCAGCCATGTACAATGTAATGTCTGTGTTCAAAGGTACCAAAGAGGATCAGAGGCTCTTTCCCTGGTGACAGATAGAATGATGGGAGTCCCAGGGTATGGCCACCCAAGGTCAAGAGTGTGTTACTGTCAACCACTTCCTCCACATGGAATGACAGAAGCCCAAGGGTGATGCTGGTGGCTCCTGCAGGGTCAGAGCTGCAGCCACATTACCAGGTCCAGCCCCAACATCAGTCAGCTGGTGCTCCTGGTATGAGTCAGGGGCTCCGTGAATGTTCTGTTCTTGTCCCTGACCCCTGCCTCAAAATCCATTCACCTAACTTTTTAAAGCAGAAATATTTTGCTTTAGAGACTCAAGGAAAACTTACAGAAAGTTCATGAAAACTATAAGAACCTGGCAAGAATATAGCAACCTGATTCCAAGACTACTGACTGAAATTTTACATCTTATCTCTGTGACGCCTTCTGTGATTTGCTGCTGGGCTGTAGGCTCAGCCTTGGAGGGATCTGTCACACACACACACACACACACACACACACACACACACACACACACACACACTACCAGAGCTGTGGTAACCCCTTCCCCAGCCCCCAACCATGTCACTTGGCTTCCTCCCTCCCTTCCCCCAAGGCTACTTCCCCTTCCAACATTCCTGTCTTTTAAACACTTACTCATCGTTCAAGATTCAGGGCAACCAGCACCCCCTCACTACAGGCAGCCTTCCAAATGGTAACACAATCTTAGAAGCCTGGAGCTCAGACTATGGTTTGATCAAGTGCAAGCCTAAGATGGTTCTGCTTCCAGGACAAGTGAAATAGTAATAGCAGCAGTGGCCAGACACCTCACACATTCAGTCACTGATCCTTTCAACAACCCTAGAAATGAGTGAACTGCCCAAGATCACACTACCAGGAAGAACAGAAGCTTGGGCCCAAATACACTGGATCCCAAACATTGAGCAGGAAATGGAAGAAAATGTTTTGAGATCAAATTGCATTATAGATACTAAGGACCACGTGTAGTGTTATAAAATCTGGTGCCAAATACTTGCCCAAGGATGCACAAAGCTTGGCATTAGATGCTGTGTGGCATAAAAGAGGAAATAAAATCAGTCCTTTGCCCTCAAATAATGTTCAGTCCTATCAGAAGACAAGACTGGCCTGCCAACATGAGATAGGATCTGCAGCTTAGGGTGAAATGGTTCTGAAACTGAGTAGAGCTTTGGCCTGCCAGGAACTCCTTCCAGGTTATATCACACGTTGCTTTTTAAAGAATGATGGTGGTGTGTGTGTATGTGCTGACTTGTCTTGCACCCAAAACACCTGGTACATATAAAACTCAAAATGTTTGAAGGATTCAGTTAATCAAAGTTTTATTTTTCATTAAGATAATAGAAATGTTTTACTTTATTTGGAAGACTTTTTTTTTAAGAATCCCAAGATAATTCTTGAGATAACAACTGTTAAGCTTAGAAAAAGACACACATATATGTCCCTGATGAGGTTCTGAGGTGAGTGGCGCTGTGACTTCCTAGTGCCATCTGCTGAGGCCAGGTTGAATGCAAGGAGGTCACCCCGGGGAAACATTGTGATTCCCTGGAAACTTCCCAGCACAAACTTGCTTCAGGTACCTCCCTCTAGGTCAGTTACACCCTGGGCACTGTCCCTATGAGTCCCAAACTCTAGACTCAGCTGGATGCTGAGATGTGGCTAAAATGGCAGATGTTACTAAATTCTGGAAGGAGGGTACATCTCAGAGAACTTTGGTTGGAAAAAAATCGGAGCCCTGCTGGAGCCATGGTTCTCTCCTGTGTCCCTTGACAGCACTGACACCCACACTCACTAAGCCCATGGGCAGGATACGTGCACAAGGGCACACCAGCCCTCGCTTATGACCTGATCTGTAAGCACTGCACTGGTGGTAGCTGACTGAGAAACAAACCATGGGGACATGGAGCGCTTGGCACTTGGTACTGGTATCAGCCAGGAGCTCCTGGGTTCAGCCTGATGGAGACCTGCTCTCTACTGACCTCCTGGACATGACCAGGGACTGGGCTGGAGTTGGGGAGGCACTGCCAGGAAGCCTGCTGAGGGAGTGGAAAGGGACTGGCCGCCAAACACACAGCAGAAGGTGCGGGTCTGTTACCAGGTAAAGGAGCGAAGAGAGCAGGCAGAGGTGGGCAGGGAGTAAGTATGTGGGGATGCAGCTTTAAGCTGAGAAGTCGGTTTGGCAGTCAACAGATCAGAGCTTTGAGGGGAGTCAAAAGCGATATGCAAAAAAGCATGTGTGATGAAGAGAAAGATGGAAATCCAGAGCCAGATGAGTCAGCTGGAATCAGTGTCTGAAAGGGAGAGAAAACAGGCTGTGTGCAAGCTAGCATCACCCAGGGAGGCAAGCTAGCAAATCCATCCAACCAAGCCTGCAACGTGATGTGTGCTGAGGTCTCAAGCTGGCTTAAAAAGAAAATGCGCCTTCGTGCGCTGTAACCAACCCATCCGATAGCCGACTGTGCTGAGCTTGTCGCCTGGATCTCCTGGCCTGGGTCTTGCTCCCTGCCCCCAGCAGTAGGGTCTCAGCACGGGGTGCTGTGCAGAAAGCAGCCCGCGGGCCAGGCCAAGGCACTGCCACAGAGACCAATACCAGGCCTGGCTGGATGTAGCACAGTGGAGCCAGCTCCCTACCAAGTGGGGGTTTTACAGCCGGGCAGGTGCAGGAGCTGAGAGACCTTAACCCACTCCCTGACACATGCTGGGAGGGCTGGGAGGGGGCAGGTAGAGTCAGCTCACATCACTATTCTTGCTGCTTGGAGTGTCACTAACTACAAATACTCTGGAAATGTCACCTGAATGAATGATCTAATTATCCAATTGACACACAGAAAATACACAATTTCTTAGCTCTTCTGGCTTACATAATTGCAATATCGACATACTGTTCAATGGTTCATTAGGAAAAATAGATTTTCCGATCAATCTGAAGCTGGAAAAGGCCAAGAGAGGTCCCATGACACTGGGCTGTGCAGGGCCCTTGCCTCAGCTGCTGGATCCGCTGGGGGCTGAAGAGGAACAGACTCTGCTGTACTCCCTGTGGCCCCTGGATTGGGCTTTGTGTTCAACCAGATGCCCAGATGCCTGGTGTGCCAATCTAAGCCCATGAAGCGTCTATCTGGTCCATCACTCTCCAGTCACAAAGAAAGAACAGGGGAGGAAGAAGGAAGGAGAAGAGGACAGAGAGAAGATGGAAAGGGGACTGCTGCTGAGGCCCAGAGTTGTAGGAGGAGACACCAGGGGAGCTCACAGGTTGCTGTGTGTGTGCACACGCATGTGCACTCAGAGCAGGATGGGGGTGGCATTTCTCCGACTCCTAGACCTGCTGACCCCGGGGAAACAAGGGCCACATTCATTTAGCAAAACAAAGTTTGTGGGAGCCCGAGCCCAGGAGGGGATGCTTTGCTCAGCAGAGCTGGGGTGGGGGTGGGGTGGGGCTGCACGCAGGGCTCTGGGCTGGGGACACGAACGCAGCCTGCTTTGATGAGCTGGACACACCACTGGCTCTCCTATTCTTGCCTCCTCTTT